TTTACTCGGACAGAAGCTCGAAACTTTAAAAATTATTTGCTCATTGATGAGTGTGGCTATAACCATGATAACAAAACAAGAGAGACAAAATTGACAGCTTTCTTCAATCCGATGAAAGAGAACTTGACAATAATAAAAATCATTTGCAGATTGATGAGTTTGACTATAAATATAATAACAAAAACAATGAACAAAATTGACGGTTTTCTGCAAGTTCATAAAAAGAACTTGATAAACGTAGAAATTATTTGCTCATTGATGTGTTTGGCTATAACCATGATAACAAAACAAGAGAACCAGAATTGACGGCTTTCTATAGTCTAAGGAAAAAGACCTTTATAAACCTAGAAATCGTTTGATGATTGATGATTTTGGCTATAACAATGATAACGAAAAAGGAGCAAAATTGACGGTTTTTTACAGGCTCACGAATAAACTATTGACAATCGTAGAAATTATTTGCTGATTGATGAGTTTGGCTATAACCATGATTAAAAAATAAAAAGTTGATGGGTTTCTGCAACGTAATGAAAGAGCCCTTGATAAACGTAAAATTTATTTGCTCATTGATGAGTGCTGCTATAACCATGATAACACAACAAGTGATACAAAATTGACGGCTTTCCGCAATCCGATGAAAGAGAACTTGATAAACATAGAAATCATTTGCAGATTGATGAGTTTGACTATAACTATAATAACGAAAAATAATGAACAAAATTGACGGTTTTCTGCAAGCTCATGAAAAAGAACTTGATAAACATAGAAATTAATTGCTCATTGATGTGTTTGGCTATAACCATGAAAACAAAATAAGAGAACCAAAATTGACGGCTTTCTACAGTCTAATGAAAGAGATCTTTATAAACCTAGAAATCGTTTGATGATTGATGAGTTTGGCTATAACAATGATAACGAAAAAGGAGCAAAATTGATGGTTTTCTACAAGCTCACGAAAAAACTATTGACAAACGTAGAAATCATTTGCTGATTATGAGTTTGGCTATAACCATGATAACAAAAAGAAAATACAAAATTGACTGCTTACTCCTGTCTGATGAAAGAGCTGATAAACATAGAAATCATATGCAGATTGATGAGTTTGACATATAGAGCGATAGGTAACGAAAAATAATGAACAAAATTGACGGTTTTCTGCAAGCTCATGAAAAAGAACTTGATAAACATAGAAATTAATTGCTCATTGATGTGTTTGGCTATAACCATGAAAACAAAATAAGAGAACCAAAATTGACGGCTTTCTACAGTCTAATGAAAGAGATCTTTATAAACCTAGAAATCGTTTGATGATTGATGAGTTTGGCTATAACAATGATAACGAAAAAGGAGCAAAATTGATGGTTTTCTACAAGCTCACGAAAAAACTATTGACAAACGTAGAAATCATTTGCTGATTATGAGTTTGGCTATAACCATGATAACAAAAAGAAAAGAGATGAAAATTGACGGTTTTCTCCTGTCTGATGAAAGAGCTCTTCATAAATGTATAAATTATTTTCTAATTGAAGAGTTTTGCTATAACCATTATAACGGAAAAATGGGTAAAATTGACGGTTTTCTGCATCGTTATAAAAATTCCTTTAAAAACCGTAAATATCATTTGCGGATTGATGAGTTTGGCTATAACCATGATAAAAAAAAAATTGAGATGTGTTTCTGCAACGTAATAAAAGAGCTCTTAATAAACGTAAAAATTATTTTCTCATTGATGAGTGTGGCTATAACCATGATAACAAAACAAGAGATACAAAATTGACGGTTTTCTGCAATCCAATGAAAGACAACTTGATAAACGTATAAATCATTTGCAGATTGATGAGTTTGACAATAAATAGTCAATATTACCGACGAGATGCTTTTTTGGTAATTATTTTTTGGTTTTTTTCCGTTCACAATCAAAACTCTAAAGTTGGCGACTGAACGTTAACTGTTTCTGGTGTTCTCAATCGGATGTCATGAATCCTGAAAACGACCAAGTACATATCGTCACACGCAAAGAGAATGCCATGGAATGATGATGTTCGTTGATTTCTTATTTTCTTGCAATTTTTTTTAGAAGATGATTTATTATTATTTTCTTAGCATTTATAATATTATTGAATTTTTTAATTTTAACATTTACCATATTTTATTACACTAAACCCTAAACAATTTACCATATTTTCTTACACTAACACCTAAACAACCTCTTATCTCACATGATTTTACCATTCACACAGCATTATTCCCGCGCATTTGCGCGGGCAATCACCTAGTTTATAAATAAAAAACAACCATATAAAAAGTGAAAAACCAAAAAACGGAGAAACCAGAAATAAAACCAAACAAAAATCCGGATTGAGAATACTTACAGCGATTTTTTTCCTGGCGTACTCCGCAGCCGCAAGAGTGGAGATGCACATAACCGATATTACATACCCAGCTCCCATTCTCGCCATAACTCCCAATCGAAAGGGCCTTCTTAGAGCCCAAGAAAGTAATGGGACGATAACAAGATCATAAAGACCAAGGAACAGCACAAAGGAGATGACCAAGAAAATGCCGTAAGAGCCTGGGGGAATCTCAAAACCCTGAATAAAGGTGTGGCGATCCATGGCCTTGGCTTGAAGGACTATGAAGGAGACTTGGCAAGCTGTGACAAGTGACAAGATGATCCCCGTTGACCATATGGGTAGGACATTGATGAGAGATTTAAGATCTTCTACTTGTTGAACCCTACATAGCTTCCATGGATTCCGTGACTCGCCTAGGGTTAGGTCTTGCTTCGGATTACTTGTGGCGCAAGCTTTATTCAAACATCTATAGTAGAAAATATTTCCAAATGTATCAGGTTTCGTTACACAATCATAATTCTGGGAACAAATACTGTTGCAACTATTACCACCTCATTTGTATTTATAATCTTCGACGATACAATTTGTTTTACAAACACCTAGAGAATAAATGTAATATGTACCTCAATTTCTGGCTAGGACTTGAAAATGAAGAGCCCATTTCGTAATGGAACGATATAATATGCTCCCCCGATGACAAATCAACGTGTCGGTTTCTAAAAGCAGCAACGAGAACCTGGAAAAGTCCAGCAACAAGGCCGGACTCGCACTTAAACCTTACATAGTATGGAGAAGCCGCAAAGAACAAAGCGACCGATAGAGCCATGGCAGCGACAGAAACTCCAAAACCAATCTTCCAACCATATGTTGTCTGAACGAAGACGAGCAACGACTGAGAAAGAAAGCATGCTAGCATGACGGAGAAGTAGTACCAGTTGAAGAGCGTTTCTAGGGCTGATATGGCGACACGTGATGTCTGATTAGGTTGAAGCTGGTCAGCGGCGAAGGCTAAGCAGGAGGACCTGACTCCGCCGGCGCCAATGGCGGTGAGGGCAAAAAAGGAATATAGGAGAAGACTTTTGAGCAGTGTGGTGGGTTGGCACACGTTCGTTAATTTATCGCATTCTGGTCGAATTAGTGTTGTCAGCCATAATAAAACCATTCCCTGTTACTCACAAGCAATTAAATTAAATATCACTAATCAACGAACGTGTATAGTTACTTAAATGAAATAATCGTCACGGACAAATATAGGCTGAGTAGTATATTTCGGAAAATTATACAATGATTATTATTAATGTATAGTATAATTACATGTATCGATCGTCAGGAGATATAGTTATTTGTTGTTTATCAATGATAATCTAGACTAGGACTTCTGCAATAACTGTGTTAAGACGCAAGGTTCTCCAGTTTCACATATAATTTCTTTATATTTCACACAAATTAAAACAAATTTCACTGGTTTTTTTTTTTGTTCTGATTTGTGAGGTTATATGGCATCAAATATGTACCATAAGGCTGATAGAGGATCCAAACCCGATCAGAGGAAACCGACCCGTGTAAGAATCAGCAATAAAAGCACCCACAAGAGGGAAGAAATTGGTGGCGGCGGACCAGAGGAATAGGATGTTGGCCGCTTCGGCTGTTCCCATACCGTATTCCACCGTCAAGAAGAGTATCATATTCGGTACCAATCCAAAATATGCAAGTTTCTCCAACGCCTGACTTGCTGTCCAATACCATTTAACCAAAGAATTAAAAAAATACATCCATCTTTTTTACCCTCTATGAAATTATACCGAGTGTATCAAATATATGAATACGAGAACTGATTATACCTAGAATGAAAGGAATGGTCGGAATACCGCGTTTTGAAGTAGTTCTTCCGACGAGAAGAGCTTCTTGATCCATTTTCAGTTTCTTAGGTTTTTGGCTCTTGGTGGTTTTGATATTATGCCTTAATTTAACGATGTTGTTCCCATGTCGCCATCAGATTAGCCATCAGAAAATCATTTTAAGACTATTTAATTTAAAACAAATTTTATTATCCTACCTAACTGGACTCTCTTCATAAATTAAGGTATTAGATTTCAAAGTTTTGCTCTCCTTTTTTGTTTGTTTGCGGCATGAATCTTATAGAAATGAAATGAGATATATGCTTTCTTTCTCCATTAAAATCATAATTTCATTTATTTTTCCAACATTCATACTTCATAGGTTCATCTACTAACTGAGACTTGAGAGAACGACTCAATAACAGAAGGCTTATGTTTACTAGAGTGTAGTCACTACGACAAACTAATTATTTCGTTGAATAATATACTAAAGACTAATGGGTCGGAAATTTTATTAATGGGCCTAATTAACTATATAGGCCCATGTCACACCTTGAGTTTCCTGCTAAGACTGAGACTGAAGCCTGAAGGTGGTAACTAAGCGGACAAGTGTCGAGGATTTTAGAAAGCAATTGAGCACGAACCTTATCCGTTACAGTGGCAATGGAGGACAAATCGTTGACGTTACCGATTCCTGAAGATTTATCCCGGAAAATAATCTCTCTTGCCGCCGGTGAAGCTCATACAATCGCTCTGACCGGTAAATATAAAAGTTACTACAGCTTCAAATTTAGTAGATAGAGAAATTCGAAATTCCTATGTTTTTTCTGGAGTTTGATTTTGATTGATTGGAATAGGCGATGGATGTGTTTACTCATGGGGAAGAGGAATGTTTGGCCGTCTTGGTACGGGTAAGGAATCGGACGAGCTTGTTCCAGTTCGAGTCGAGTTCGAGTTTCCAAATCAAGCGGAAGGAGATCGGATTCGAATCGTTGGTATTGCTGCTGGTGCTTATCACAGTCTCGCTGTCTCAGGTGGTTTCTTTTATTCATATATCTAGTCTTCACTTTTCTATTAGCTTGTACTGCTGATTTGATCAAGTGATTTATTTGAGAAATTGGTGACTGTGATGATCAACAGATTTTGTTTGATCAAATTAGCTCCCTTTTTTTGCATCTATGAACTTCCATTTGTTCTTCAAGTATAAGCTTGTTCATGTGTTTGTATATGAATATGATATTATATAGTTCTGTACTGACCATTGTCTTGTCTTTTGTTTCTTTTGCCTTGTAAGCTTTTGGCAGATGATGGCTCCGTTTGGTGTTGGGGTTATAACATTTGTATCCTTTATCTGAGTGTTTTCGTTTTTAGCTTGATATGATTGTTTCATAACTACATGTTTTTTTTTGTTTTCTGATCTCTACATTGATTGCTTCAATCCTTGACTGGTAAATGGATGGCCAACTTGGTTTTGATGGGGAAAACTCTTTGGCACCATGCTTGATAAAAAATTTATTTGAACAAGGAGCATCTATTTCTTCTCTAAATGATTCAGGTAGAGAAGCTAGATCAGATTTAAAGGTATGGTCCCAGAAATGCTTTCTTAGTGTAGGTTTACAAGTCAAAAAAACTTTAGCACTATGATTTTCGTTATGCCTTGTAGGTTTGTGCTGTTAAGGCCGGATCCATGATGTCCCTTGCCATTGATAATGTCGGAGGTCTTTGGATGTGGGGCAATGTTCCTCCACAAGACAGTGAACCTGACCCTCGTTTGTCTTTTACAAGCATCCCGATACCATTTCCTATACTCGACTTCCATGGACGGACGGTTTTGAAGGTAGCGTGTGGGGATGAACACGTTGTTGCCCTCGTTGGTCCAGGGGATATCAACAAAGACAACAGTTATGATGTATCCGTGCTGTATTCTTGGGGAAATAATCATCATGGCCAGTTAGGGGTTGGGGATAGGGAGAGCCGTCCAAGGCCTCAGATCGTGGAGACATTTAACCAGAACTCGGGTCTTACAGTCTACGAGATAGCTTGTGGTGCTCATCACACAGCTCTTCTCACCTACAAGAAGGAGACACCGAAAGGACCAAGCATTTGCTGGACGTTCGGCTTTGGAGAAAATGGTCAGCTTGGGCATAGAAGTAACAAAAGCTTATCGATTCCAGAGCCAGTTTCAGAGCTCCCAGAACACGCTTACTTAGTTTCTGTAGACTGTGGACTATTCCACACAAGCGTGGTGTCCTCTGAGGGATACGTGTGGTCGTGGGGAATGGAGAGAGGATTAGGATTATGCCCCGATGTCAACTTCACAGAGGTGGAAGCAGGAGATGATAGTGTACCAAGAAAGATTTCAGCTGGGTCAAGATTTCGTGACCCGGTTCAGGTTTCTTGCGGGGCAGCACATACAGTTCTTGTGGCAGATGGTGGGTACAAGCTGTGGTCTTGGGGAAGAGGAAGAAATGGAGTGCTCGGGACTGGGAATGTTAGCGACTGTTATGTCCCTACTCTCGTCTTCTGGCCGTATGAGCTGAAACCAGAGAAAGAAGAAGTACCTGATGCTGACAAAAGCGCATCAACTGAGGAGATTAAACGGCTAGAATCAAAACTAATGGTGATGGAAAGATATGCAAGCATACTTCATGGTTCCATATTTGGGAAACCTTTCAATGAAGAGGAAGATATCCCGTATTCATTACGGGTTTCTGGGTATTTCGATATGGGAAAAGAGTGGGGAGAGATGCTGGAGAGTGCAGATAAGAGTCAGCTTATGAGGCTTCAAGCTTTCTATGAAGACATGATTGGTAGAGTAAAGGACAAGGTGCTGCAGAGAAGGATTCAAGAGATTATGAGAGATTGTCTTCAATCTTCAGCACCTAAACACTAATATCATCACTTCTTGTGTGAAATTGGACAGACTCAGACGGACTAATTAATATGCACAATAGCTTCGGTATAATAAATCAATCAAGACGACGCTTGTTCAATGTTATTCCTTCGTAAAATTTTATATGAATGTATTATGTCGTTTTTTTCTTTCGCAGATTAGTTTTGATATCTTGAAAATAACATCCAAAATATGTGATGTTACATCAAGATTGTAGGTTGAAACCATCTCTTGTGCATGTGTTGAAAATGTTTTCATGAATATCCAAAATCATGAGTCTTAGATAGAGAAATAATTAAATAAGCGAGAGAAATTTTCTAAGTTCATTTCAACTACCATTTACTATGTTTTATATTTGAAAAAACCACTGAGGTACTAAAATTTACCAAAAAATATTTAAACAAGGTTCTTTAACATTTTAAAAGAAGTGTCTGAAATCATTTATTTAACTCCCTTTAAAACGTTTTATTTTGGAGAAGTTTAAAAAGATTTTTTTAAAAAAAATTAAAAATGATTTTCTTAGCAAGCCATCGAAAAAGAAAAAAAAAATTCCTTATCTAGAATCAGTCCAAATATTATCTTATTTTACTTAATATTTTTAAAAATTATTGGCACTGTAGTATCACATCATCCAACAACCAGTGAAGGACAAGAAAAAATCATCCAACAACCATTGCAATGTCCCTTCATATTAAATTCTCCGATATATAATGTCAATGTAATCATTTTATTGCCAACTCACGATTTTCATAAGTAGAAATATATTGAATTCGAATTTAGATGCTAAGTTTAAAATTGCGATTGTTATTATTACATATTGTTATTTTTTTTGTGGTTTTACATGTGTACGTTAATTGCATCGTAGTCTCCTATATTGGGATTAGGTTTACATACATCTGAACTAATCAATTCAGTCAAGCGAATACTAATCCAGAGTTTAGTGCGTCACAATAAATATAGAAACTTTTTTTGGTTGTTGTCAAAACAAAATTCTATTTCCCAAAATTAGTAATATGAATATGTTCTACCATTATCATATATCTGAAGCGGGCATGTTTGTTGGAAAAAAAAAACCGTTATCACAACCTTGTCTTGATTTAAACCACTTAATGCATGAATACACCACACACAAATTCAAATGTGTTGGACAGATATACGCAACGTATATTTAGTAAACTGATGTATTATTCTTTTTTTTTTATCTACATTGTAATAGTTTTCTATTTAATTATGATAATATTTAGGGTTTTTTTTTATCAAAAAGATAATATTTAGGTTTTTTTGTTCCATTTTCTTGCTAATATGTAATAACTGTTTTACTAGTGCCAATTTTAATCTAACGGAGGTAAAATAAGCAATTTCAACCTATAGGTGGGTGTACTGGTGTGGTGCCAATTAGTAGCTTGTGCACAAGGAAATGGTCGTGTGAGGCAGAGCTCGAGAGGTGAGCTGGCTAGCTTTAGATTGCTTTATCCGAGCGAGGAGGCTCGATTCTGGATTTTTGCATATTCGTTTGATCAGTGTTAGATATATTATAAATTAAGTGGATATAAATAATAAAAAGTAGAAAAAAAAATCTTAAGTTTTACTTAGAAATCTATGAAGAATTTAAATTTTCTAGTATTCTAAAAACCAGACCAGGTGACGCCTAAACTCTATTCAAATTTTCTTTCCCTAGGTATCTATATATACATTTTTGAATGACTTTTAGCAAATAAATCCTAGAGTTGGACCTTATTTACGGATGAATGTCATTGGCATTAATTATTTAAATTTGAAAAATATTACTTAAAGATATTACCAATACGATTTCGAGAATCATAAATTCATATCTTCCTTAATTTTCTGAGTCATTAATGTGATAATCTTTAGGAAATATTTCTCTGTAAAAAAAAAAAATCCACATTAATGAAGGCATTAAAATCGACACTAACAATTAAATTATTTAGATGTTCAATTATTTTAAGATTCTTATATCTTATTTGATATTTTTTTTTAATATCTCATTCTTTAATTACTGCGTTTAGAATTTATTGGTTGTTACCTATTTTTTGGTGAAATTTATTGGTTGTTACTTAATAAGTAATTATGGTGCGTTTATTTTAGTTAATATCTAATTTAAAGGATTTGTTTTCTTTTATTATTAATAAATGAATAACATGTATAGAAATAAAAGATTTTTTTTGCGACTCCATAATAAAAATATTAAACTCTTATTTTCTACATTTCTTACACATAATATCCTCTTATTCAATAACAAAAAATATATATTACATATTTTTAAAAATATTTTTAATATTTAAATTATATAAAAAATTTGTAATATTAATATTATTTCAACTCTATACAAATTTAATATATATGTATATATATCTTATGGGAACCATTTAAAAGAAATTTTTAAATTGACTTGCATTATATAGCTTTTAAATAAAAATA